ACTGGAGTCTAGCGAGGACCAGCTCCATCAGGCGTTGGAACATCGCTGGAGCCAAGTGCAATCCCATGGGAAGCCGATTAAACTCAAAGAGGCCCTAAGGAGTGCAGAAGGCCGTCTTTGGTTTGGAAGCGTCATTGAGGGGTAACTGCCAAAACCCGGACAACAGTTCTAAAGTCGAGAAGTAGCGCGCGCCCGCCGGGGCGTCCAGGGACTCATCCATTAGGGGGAGTGGATAAGCATCTGCGACCGAGACTTTATTAAGTTTCCGAAAATTCACACAGAAGTGAAGGGTACCATCATGTTTTTTGACCAGCACAATGGGCGCTCCCCATGGGCTGGTGGACAGCGAGATAACATCAGCCGCCAACATGTCATTAACGGCTACCCGCACATGGTCTTTTTTGGCCGGGCTCAACCAAAATGGATTTTGCCGGAGAGGTGCAGCGTCACCAGTGTCGATGTGGTGACTGAGCAGCTTGGTGCAGCCGATGTCAAATTTACCCATGCTAAAGACATCAGCGAAGTCCCGCAAGAAAGCATGCAATTGAAGGCGCTGTGATGACGACAAATCTGTTCCTCCCGAACAAAAGCGCGTCCATCCACCCGGCATCTGGGCATGAATGCGGAGTGGAACGGGGCACATCTCCAACTTGACCGACCAATGAGTCTCCCACAAGGGCCGGTGATGCATGGGCAAGCACCGTGCCTTGGGGGATAACTGTGGTCCTTGACCCCGCATTCAAAATCTGAATTAATGGTTCGCTGTCAGCTGACACGAGCGTCTGCGCACTGATAAGATCCAACTCGCGCACCACCATGTTAGACGGACCCAGCAGCACACCTTTAGCAAGCGCGTCCGACCCAAGAGCTTTTCGAAACCGGGGAGGGACGAGCATTTGACAGCCAGCCGGAACACGAACCGTACGAGACGCCAGTGCTTGGACCGTGGTAAACGCAGTGAGCAACCGAGTGGGTGAGGGCAAGAAAGCAATGCGTCGGCCGCAGGGGAGCTCGATGCACCCTTGGTCGATGAGAATTTTAATAGGCATCCTCGCCAAAAAGTCCGTGCCCAAGAGGCATGTAACAGCGAGGGTTGACGAAACCAAAACAGGCCCTTGCGATTGAACATCCCCAATGCGGATCTGGGCGTCGATCCTGCCAATTATTCCGAACGAACCCCCATTAGCGGCAAAACACGGTACATTAACAGTCCACAGGGGACGACACTTGTCAGGCAAGATGTTATAAATGAGGTCTGAGATGATGGCCACCGACGTTCTCGTGTCGACCAACATCCGGACATCAGCCCCCTCAATGGAACCCTCTATGACAGATGACCCTGCGGCCGCGGCGATAACTCTATGGGCTAACTCGGACCACTGACCCCGTCCGTGCGCCCTGTCGTTCCCACCTCTCCTTGGGTCCCCCTGTCCAACGCATGACAACCCTGTGCGGTGTGTGTGCGTGACAAGAGCGGGGGCCGAGAGCGTGAGGTATCGCGACTTGCCTGAGTCCGGCGCGGAGCCGAAGGTGAGCGAGGCGCCGGCGGTTGTCCGGGGGTGCGTTGGCGGGGAGCCCAGCAGCCAGACGCCATGTGTCCCCGCAAGCCGCAGTTGTAGCAAGTGATGGTCACACCATCCTGGTGCGAGGCCATTCGGTCGCGCTATCGGCGGTCCCTCAGGGGCCGACGATCGGCCGACCTCCGACCCTCCCCCGCCGAGGCAGAGAAGGCCTGGTCGTGGAACCAGTCATTCCGGCGATCCGGGCCCACCAATGAAGCGGCACAAGCGGCGACGGCCGGCGCCACCTGCAGCCGCAGGTGCGCCTGGACGCACCTTGCAGCTCGCAAAGAGTTGAAATCGTCATCGTCGGCCACTGAAACGACAATCCTGAGCTCCCGAGCCAGGTTCAGAAGCTTCTGAAGAACCAGCGAGTCGATCGCTTCTTGTGCCATGCGGGGGTAAGCGGCCTTAGCCAGGGCCAGCAGGGCAGTGCGGTACACCAGCGCAGACTCGGCTTCCGCCCTCGTGCGGGTATCGAAGCGGTGGCGGGAGTTGGAGGGCAGACTGTAAATTGCCTGCATCTGGCGAAGGGCGTCCTGCAGTGTGGAGTGATTTGCCAGAGGCACAGTGATGAGAGAGGCGAGGGCATCATCATCCAGCATAGCCGGGAGGGCGTGGAGCGTGTCATCCTCTGACCAGCCGACCATCTCCATGTGGGAGACGAACTGGCGCTGGAAGGCCGCCCAGTCGCCTCCCGCCCCTGAAAACGCCATCAACGCCGGCAGGCGTTGCTGGACATTGGTGGTACGACCTCCGGCCAGCGATGAAGAGACGGCTGCCGCAGATTCAGGAGCTCCCTCGGCAGCAAAGATGTCGCCCCTTGGAAGCGGTCGCGGCGCTGATGACGCGGCGCCACCCGGTTGGACGCCGTCGGCCCCGGAAGTCATGTGGCTCCCAGCGGCCACCGCGCGTCCAGCGGAAGTTCCTCCCGCCGTGGCGGGAATTTCAAAATTAATGGCGGGAACCGTGGTTGCGGCCTCCGATGGATGCTGCCCCGTCTCCCCCAGCGCCGCAGCAGCCTCCGCCTGGCGGATGCTGCCCAGGATGGCGGCTGTGGCTTGGAGCAGTTCCGCGAGGCGGAAATGCGCTTCCCGCAGCGGGCTCTGTGACGGCCGGGAAGCGGTGGGCGGCGAGCCGGGCGACTGCCCGGCCATCGGTGCGATGCCGTCCATGGGCGGTGTCGCCGTCCCTGCCCCTGCACGATCGCCGCCGTCCGGACTGCGGGTACGTGCTGTCCGGCGTTTGTCCATATCCCACTTCTGACACCAAATGTAGTGTTGCAGATTCTGGAGACGGATCTTGGAGGCAACACTTGTTTATTTATAACACACAGTAACGGCCAGCTATACATCCTAGGAATACAGCCTACGACTAGCGTGCCTGACACTGGTCATGCTCTCAGGTCCTCCGGCTATGAGTTACCTAGGGGAGGCTACCTGACCCGACGTAGCCTAGGTGCGGGTCCCAACCACTGGCCCGCTCGGACCCGGCCCTGATAAGGATGTCGGGCCGGGGGTTCCCAGGGTTCACCACTGGGCCGCACAGAGTCCCGGCCCTGACAAGGGTAGCGGGACTTGGAGTCTCAGGGTCCTAGCTGGCTTGCTCCGTCTTCTTTCTTCTTCAACTGGCCCCGAACCTCTGGAGAGGTCCGTTTATATACGCCTTTCCCACTGAGGGGCGAGGCTGTGTGGGATCCTGGAACACCCCACAGCCGCCTTCTGCTCTGGGGCTAGGGATGCTGCGACTGCCCTTGCTGGGCTGTGTCTGCCCCTGCGAGTAAGTATACGCAGTCCATTTACGTCGCTACACATAGCCCATTTATACCCCTACACCTGTATAGGCATGCAATTACAGTGTATTACTCGATAATACGCTTCCAAGCAGCACTAAGTCTGTAGCTATCAGAATGGTTACAATTTTTATTTCTCTCAATTTCAATAGATCCTCTAATTAGTCTTGGTCAGTAATTGTAACCGTTGTTACAGCGCATTTCGTATCTTGCAGTTAGGGTCACCTCTAGGGTTCTTTCAGGAACTGGTGACCATGGAGATAGATTCCAACCTGCAGGGCAGGGAAGTGCACTGCTTACACCGGGCGCTCCAGGGGGTGTTTTCACCTGAGGAAGTGAAGTTGAACGTCAGTTTCCTAGAATTGAGGGCAAATCGACTGGTCCTCTTACAACTGGCGGATGTGGTCGCGAGTTGAGTGGTGCTGGTGCGTTGCGACGTCACCTCTTTTTTCAATGGACGGAGGCACACCAGATGCGTCTGGTGGCTCATCACCTAGCGGACGTACAGAATGCTTTAGTGGACAGGCTCGGTTGCAAGAAACTGGACCCCAGAGAGTGGTCGCTTCACGTGGAGATGTTCAACAAGGTTGCATGTCGGTTTGGGACACCAAACATCTACTGCTTTGCGTCGAATGCGAACAACAAACTTCCTCGGTTCGTATCCCTGTTCCTCTATTAGGGAGCATGAGCAACGGATGCTCTCAGTTCCTGTGGGAAGGTTCCCTATGGTACGTCTTTCTCCCGTTCCCTCTAATTCCGCACGTTCTGGCAAAGTTATTCGGAAGTGCAGCCACAGTGGTTCTGATGGCACCCGATTGCCCAAGGAGGTCGTGGTTCTCGGACCTTCTGGCCCTACAGGTAGATCAGGCGTGGCGCCTAACCACCCGTCTGGACATGTTGTCCCAGAGAGGCGTCTGGTGCTGGGTTCTTCAAGAGCTAAATTTGACAGCATGGCTGTTGAGAGGGCGCAGTTTTGGGCCTTTGAGCTAAGTGAGTCTGTGCAAGATTTGCTTTTAAAATCTTGGCGTCGGTCATCCTCGCGAGTTTATAACACTCATTGGTGACAATTCTGTCTCTGGTGTGGGGCACACAATGTTCACTGGGTGACGTGGTCTAGACTGGGTAGCTCAGTACATGGTTGTCTAAGTGAGTTGCTGTTGACTGCCCAGGTGTTGTTAGATTGTGTGTTACAGGCGGTTACAGTAATTTCGGGTTTGATAGTCATTGAACTGAGTCTGGACAGACAGTCAGTGTGGGGAGTGCATGGACCACCCACTCCGCCCCAAAGGGGGTGGTGTGGGTGTTCCCCCTCCCCCCTGCTCATCACATAGAAAGAATATATCTGAGTGTTAAACGTTAAAATAAGCTCAGTGAGAATGTATCGGTTCTATGCTGCCGAAGTGTAACAAGTTCACTAAGTACCACTCGGAGATGGGATTATACTACTCGGTAAAATCAGGATTAAGGCAAGTCCTTACTGAAATCCTAGTTTTTGTATGCATTTTCTTGGCTGTGCATAATTATGGAATTTTAATACCTACTTGCCCCTTAATGTGTAGAGTCACAACGTATAGTTCTATATAAACACTGTCGTGATTCATTGTTTTGCACGAGTGAGTGACATGACCCGCACTTGTGTTTGCCCACAGTGATCTCTGACCTGAAGAATGAAAAGCAAAGGCTAAATGGGAGACGCTCGGACATTCTCAACACCCTGGCAACGTCAATAACTTTCCTCATCGTGGTGATCAACATCTTCATAACAGCATTTGGCACTCATAACTGATGCTGAACACCCTTGGCTGTAGCCCTCTCAATAGAAAAAAATTAACCATATTTGCTTGTGAAAATTTTTTTTATAGAAAATTTTAGGCTCCCACTAATCCTTTCTTTGAAAAAAATAGTAATTTCATCCACTCTGTGGTAGCGCAAGTCTGTAGTCCAATACTTTGGAAGAGCTGTTTGATATACGCAATACTTTTTGAGAATCATCTTCGTCACCAATGCTGTGAGTCTTTCGCAACACTCTTCACTTTTTTTGTAAATTTTCTTCTATTTTTTTTCGCCTTTCGTTACGTCTGAAAAGAGGAAATGTGATGCACATGCATAAATGTAAGTGTTTTTACTTAATACATGTTTGTAAAAGTTATGTTGAGTTACAATAAATGTTTGCTCGAGTTATTTTCATTTATTTTCGTGGTCAATTTTGGTATCTTATGGGTTTCCAGAAATGGAACCCCAATTTATAAAATTGCGCCCTATTGGAAACGGGGGTTTAACTTATGACGGCTCGACTTGGGACCGTCTTCTAGGAACCAATTAGGTCGTCGGTGCGGGGGTCGTCTGCAGGAGGGAAATGCTAAATGTGTAATAACAATTACTACAATGTGTGTTTGAATTGAGTTTGGTGATGATTTTACGACCATGGAAGTGGTGGTGATGGTGAAGAATTCAAGAGGATGACTCCTCGGGAGATGCACGTGTTTTGTAACAGCGCACAGTTATAATTTTAGCACTCTGGGAGCACTAGCCACAATACTTTCCCTGATTGCACTCGTGTTCTTTTTAATGTACCTCAGTCGACTCGTTTATACATTTTGGTATAAACGAGTAAGTAAGTATAAAGTAAAAAATAAGTGCACAATAGCAAGTTCAGAGCGGGATTACTGCGAGGCTGAGGACTAAGCGGGCGGTTGAGGAGTGCCGAACTGATTCGGGCAGCTTCAAATGTGTAATGAGTGACTTTCGCGACACGTCATGTAGAGGGTACTTCTTTTATTTCTCACACGGGCACAACACAGGCCAACATTATTCTTCTCACTCTGAGATATTAACGTCTCTACTGGCTACACACACAGCCGATCACTCGGCGTGGTCCCACCGCCCTCGGCTACGCCGCTGGCTGACAGTGTGACGAGGATTGCGATGGAAACCCCGCAAGAGATCTTCCTTATTACCGGACGACGGAGAGAGATGACGGCGAGCAGCGATGCAGTCCGGACCCAAGAATCCACACGCGAACCCTGAGCCCTGGTCCACCCCCGCTTATATCTCCCCAGGCGCGGCTAGGCTCCGCCTCCGGCCACGCCCTACCGTGGAACCTTCGAGCAGGTTCCCGGAGCACCTCGGCCAACCCCGCCTATGACCTTTGCCCCAGATGCCTCTCCCTCTCCGATTGGATGTTGTCTTAGCGGTGTCCGTACCCGTGCTTCCCTTTCCCAGTCAGTAGGTGTCATCATGTCATTACAAATGTAATAATTCTGCGTGCACCTCTCCTGTGTCGGTGGTCCGGCACGATGTACGAATGCCCGAGTCTGGCGGCTCACGAATAGGCAATGAGTGCGCGTTTAGTAACTCGCGATTATGCGAAACTCGCGAATCCAGAACTCGCACAACGCGAGGGTTTGCCGTATTTGCAAAATGTATATTTGAATACCAGCTCAAGTTTGGCGCCTTAATTCCCCTCCCCCCTCTTTGCGATTTTGCAACGCGGGGTCACGGCGGAATTGACCCTCCCGTGTGGTATCACACCCAAGCCATTGTGTAGTCGGCATTGGCCGAGTGCGTTTTGCCCTCCACTCATTGAGGACGTCGCCATATTTGTGTTATGTGTTTGGTATTGTACAAATTAATTAAATGTGTGGATGTTTATGTGTACAGGACAACATTAATGTTTCCATGTTCTCCTGTACAGTCGGACATGGGAACCTAACGCCCTTTCCCCCATGTAAACATAGCCTTCGCAAGTTATACTTTACTGCAGAAACTCTCACATTTGTCGAGGCCTTACGACGTGGTATGTTGCAGCGTGTTTGTGTGATGTGAGGGTGGGCGCTGTGGGGTTCTGTCCCATGACCTGCAAGCAAGCCTTCGACACCTGCATGTTGGCCTCAAGGTGCACCTAGCCTGGCACAAGCGCCGTGGGGACATCACCGCCACCTCGTGGAGAACGGCAGATGTGTGAAAGTGAGTAATACAGTGCTTAAAGTCTGCAACGGCATGGCTCGTTAACAAGCTCAATACAAATTAAATCTGTCAACCCCTTATTAGTGCCCTACCTTATTACAGACCAATTCAGACTTTATTGGTCACCCCGTGCCCCTTATAAATTTCAACGTTCATCCTACAAAGTCCCATCACAAGGGAGAAACAGACAAAAACATGTTTTGCCCGTATTGAAACAAAGAATCCACCGTATAGCCTGCAGCAGATCGTTGAGGCAAGCGCTGTTAGCGAGTACTTATGAGGACTGGCACGGCACACGAGTGGGTGGGTGGCCAGGTGGGCACCCGTCCGCCTTTGTCTCCCCAGTGGCGACGTTTACACACCGCACGAGGTACTCATTTGAGGCTGACTCGACCTAAGGGAGGCCCAGGACCGTTTCAGATCATCGTCATCAGTGTTGGCCGTGAGCGGGAATCGAACTCGGGTGGCCGACCGCTCCCCTCACTTTTACACACAAACAGTACAGTTGATATTCGGTGTATCATCTCTGTTAAACCCTAGCCCTGTTTAAACAACTATTGCTCATTTCCGTTGGTGGTCCAGCGCCCCTTTGGTATGAATTCCACATTCCTATTGTCTGAACCCAATCTCCCAATAAGACACACCCTTTGTTTAAATTCCGCAAATCGATTTGCGTTTTGTAGCCGTACAATTGTGCTTGTTGCAGACCGCGTGATGCATTTAGTGGCTCGGGGAGTGGAGCCTAAGCCACACACATCCACACGAGGCCATGCCCGGATATCAGCTGTAATATTTATGTTCAGTGGATCTGTTCAAAGCTGCTGCTTGAACCAAAGACTGGGTAATTGAGCAGTGTGGTGTTTTGTGGTGTGTGTGGGCTGATGTGTGTGTGTGTCTCATGGTCGTTGGTGCAGAGATACGAAAGCTACCCTAGAAGCTATGCCTGACAAAACGTGAAAACGCCCAAACTCCTGGAATCCGCACATAAAGCTCAGTCAGCTCCCCCTTTGCTGATGCGATTCGCATTCAAAACGTGACAATGCTGCCCTCTCGTGTTAGCTCCTGTAAACTGTCATTTACAGTCGGACACCGCGAGAATTCAATACTGTATTTTCATTTGAATACGAATACCAATATGAATTGTAGATGATCAAAGCCAGTCGCATTGCCCAGTTAAGGAGGCGCCTATTATGCGAGGAAGCATCACCAGTGTCATCACTAACAACTTCATGATCACGATCATCAATCCCACCACTTTGTCAACTATGATCTTCCTCACACAAGAAGAACGCAACGCAATTGTCGATACGCATTTTATTTTGTTACCAAATCAGCATTGACTCGCGTCTGTGCCGCAACCACAACCGCTGCTGTAACTATCGATTCATCCATAAAATAAAGCCAGCATCGTCGCCTCCTGACTTCAGGACAGCCCTTTCTGATTTGAATGACCACAGCGGGCACCGATTGTGATTGAATGAACACGGCCCGGCTCCCTCTGTACAGCGCGCCTTGTGATGCCGCTGCATCACAAGGCGCGCTGGCTTCCACCGTTCAGTGTGTGATGTTGATGTAGATGGGTTGTTTTTTATATGGCAGCGGCTAAACTACATTGGCATCACTAGGGAATGCCAAAGCAGCAATTCTGACTCACTCTTTTTTTCTATTGAATAGATCTTGAAACCACTTCGAAGGTTTTCGCGGATGTGCTGTGTATTGCTCTCCGATGCTGTTTAAGGTTGTACTGCGTGTTATTCTGCACGCTTCACTCCAGGTGCTTGAAAGACAACACAAGCTACAACTCGAAACACGTCAGGAGAGCTCCAGTTTTTCAAACTCCTGTCAGTCCAGAACGCATTGCCGAGGTATGAAACCTACAACATAGCAACTGTTTGTTTTTAGGTTGCGGGCCATTTCCATGATATGGACATGAAAGATAAGTTAGAGGAAATGACAACCCAATAAAACCAATCACAAGGTGAATATAGTTATCACAATATCCATGTGTCTACTGTATTTCATCGAGCTGATCAAATACGTTTGTGTAGAAAGAACAAATATTTTTCACTCATTAAAGTGCACTTCCTTAACTAAGGAAGTTATGACTTTCTTCCAACAGCCAAAGAGAACAACTCGAGTTCCTTTATATACTCTGCAATAAAAGTTACACATCAGCATTATGCAAAGGTTCCTTTTGATACTGTAATTCGCATTATCTCTGTACCACACTCCAAGAAATATCTAAACAACAGTTGCCAAAAATATCACATCAAAGCTGGATTCAGCACCCTTCAAAACTGCCAAATGGCCCAAGGTTCCATAATGAAAAAATACAGTGCCCAAATTTTGTGCAGCCCACAATCAGGATAGTTTTTTTTTTCTAAATAAAGGTGTAGTCTCGACAATATGTGTGTACAATGTCAGCTCTATATGACTAGAATTCACTCCATGGCCAGCTAGGACTTGACTTTTCCCTCATTCAGGCTTGCCTATACGGATGTGTGCCACCCGACTTTAGAGTCACATACGTATGTTGAACGTCGTTTGCGCCGTACGTAGCCAACCGTGCTAATCGGAGGTGTGGGGGAAGGACAAGCTAAATACAAAAAAAACAGTTAATTGGTTTATCAATATCCACTGTGCGGAAATGCATACAGTGTAATTAAACTATGCGTGTCTTTATTTGTAACTACAGTAACTTGTCTAACAAGCCTGGTGGGAGCGGGTATCCAAAAAGCAAGTAGTCCACGTAATAGGTTTTATAAAGAGCTTCTTGCATTTCAGGTGACAGCTGGGCCAAGTAGCGCTGAGTAATATTTTCAAATGATTCGGCAGTGACCGTCGAAGGATAAGTTAAGTCTTGCGGGGCGTTTACTAATGACAGTAATTCAGCCGCGTCACTCTGCGAGGTTTCCAGCTTGCCAATGAAGGTATAGCGCACGAGGCACGGGTTACAGACACGGTGGTAGGGCCTCCAGTGCCAATCAATGTCTTGTTGATCCGTCGTGTTCAGGAGAAACTGCACGAACTCTGGAAATGTGACGCCTTGACCCGTTCTTGTCATCGTGCCCCCAAGGGAGTCCTACGCGCACGGCACAAAGGGGGTGAGAATGAAGTAGGGAGAGACGGGCGCGCAAACACCGACCGTGGGTCATTTTACCTTCTAACGGGTGATAAAATAAGATACGACCGTAGGTTTGGTAGGCAGCAGCATCAAACGTAGGATGAGCAGGCAATAATTAGAATTCAGGGTATTTGAGAAAAGGTAATTTTCCTTCAACAGTTCACAACTTCCCTCTTTTAAGCGAAACATTTGCATCGGGTCCAAAGTTAAGATGCAGTACCTGACATGTTTTTCTGCTGTTAAATCGATTATCTGTCAGAGTTTTCTTATTTAAAAGAACACAATATCAAGCCATCTCAGATTTGCATATGACAGCCACGTGCAATGGGAATGAACGGCAGTAAATGTTAAAGGAGCTCAATAATGAGGGTGACAGAGGCTGGGCCTCGGGAGAAATGTGAGTAAAAACAAAGGTCATGTACGACAGTTTCACGACGCAGTTTTGAATATCTGTCAGAGGGGACACATTTGGAAAACACAGCTGGACAATGTACTCTCTCAGGACAGTTATTGAAAGGAGACCGGTAACAAAACGTTTGATGAAATAAAAGGTGGACGAGAGGAGGCTGGAGTGCTTTTTGGATGTTTAACCTCCTCGAAAAGCAATAAACATATACAAATGCCAACATAATGTATAATTATTTTAATCAGTCTTGGTGACTCAGTGGGGTTTCCCTGGAAATAAATTACTGCAGTAATATAGTATAATACGAAATGATTATTTATTTACCACAACAAGTTTATATATACACCAATTATTAGCACCTAACAACAATGTCTTTATTTTTTTATTTAAAGCGTTCGTGACTGCAGGGATTCATATTCTTGGTTCTTTCGGTAAAGTCACGTAGAAGGGAAACAATAAAATAATAAAAATATAAAACAACAAAATTCTCACGACGTTTCGACTGCAACACAAGCAATCATCATCAGGTGTGAAAACCACAACAAGAATTTTTTTTTAAAAAGTGGCGGGTTTTTTTTACGTTAGCACCACGGAGAGCGATTTGACCGTTTGTTCAGATGGACGAGTCCATCTATGTTCTGAAAAGAGGGGAGAGACGAAAATAATGGATGCAGTCTGAAAGCCACTGTAAGCGTGAACAATCAATTAAGACCCGAAATGGTTTATCAAATCCTTCCAATGATTGCTAAGCCAGAATCCATCTTCTCGGTTGAAATTGTCTCTGTGTTTGTATATGTGGATAGCCTCATGAACGAATCTCTCATGGTAGCCAGATGGCTTGCAAAGAACCTCTGTCTTGGAGAAAGAATCAAGAATATGAATGTCTCTTGACTGTATGTTCACTACGAGGGAAGCCCTTTAAGTGAGCTGCAGCGTTGTCACAGACCGGTATTTACCTTCTCGAATGAAACCTGTTTTTCCATCATTTCACGGAAGGCAGAGACCACGCGTTCCATGGGATCCCGCACAAACAGCATGCTTGTGTAGTTGTACATGCGACTCAGGGCCTCGGAAGGGTTGTGTTCGCTCAGCCGTTTCAGCCCGTTGTCGGTCTGCGATTCGGAGCTCGAAATCTCGTCGGCCGAGGCTGCGTAGCCGCTGAGGACCAGAGCGATTTTCTTCCAATTTATGTCCCCCACGTGGGCAATCCCACAGTAGAGCAGGTGGTGACTATCCACCACGTAAATGTGCTCCAGCATGTCCTTCGTGAAATGCTTTGTTTGCACTGATTTGTATCCAAGTTTTCTGCACGCTTCACGTAGGATGGTCGTCCTCTGCACCTGTGCAAAGCTTTTTGTGGGAATCCTCTTGCGAGACCTGAATCTCGTCTGGTGAACATCTCCATTCCCTGCACTCAGTGCTGAGAAAACCAAACGGACCATGATATTGCATGAAATAGCCTTGTATATACACCCTCTTTAAACATCACTGAACCCCCCCCCCCCCAACTCCCCACTCCACCACCTACCACCACGCCACAAGCCAAATAACCGTGTGTAGCCTTAACAGACTGTTGAGGAAAGTGCATGGTACACGAGGGTGGCCAGCACCACGCCCGGCCGTCTTTGTCTCCCCAGTGGCGATGTTTTTATACACCCCACCATGCTACACACCACCACTCACATACACTCACCCATCTCCACAAAACCACTCGCTTCATCCCACACGAGTGGTCGCCCACCACGCTTGCACTCACCACCACACACCCCCATACAGCCCCCACAATCCTCATATCATACACCCAGCACCAAGCCACAGCACCGCTCACACTATCAGTGCGTTGTAGATTGTATTGGATTCCGTTTTGTAGCCATTAATTAAGAAAGGTTTGTGTACGTGACCATGCCCCATTACTGCATATGCCGAGTGTGCCGTGGCGGGAAGCTAATGAACAATGTTATCACTGTGAGGCGGATCTAGAAACTTCCCTAGAGTGGAGGGTGGCGAAACTTTAAATATTTTTAAACAAGGGCCCGATATAAATAATAAACTTCAAGGAAAACCTCGCCAATGCAGGGGCACGGGGGGGTTACGTTTCTGGGAAATTTCGTGCTGGGCAAAGCCACGTTAGATAAATAATGATGGGAGAACTGGACTTGCGTTCCTGGGTCCGAAATGATCGTCCCCTCCCTCTTTGTTGAACTCATTCTATGTGACTTTCGCCATTATTGTATGAAATAATGCTGAGTCACTGTCCACTTTTTGTTTGCGTGTGTGTGTGTGCGCGCACAATTTTTTCAATTTCACTGCCACTCAGCTTCCCACACCGAGGCACTCGAGCCCAACGTTCGCCCCCCGATACTGTCACTTGAACGTTCATGATTCGCCATCGTGGCGGCGTCCCTGTGACTAACGGTCCCTCGCGTACAGCCCCGGGGTCGACAACCTGCGGCTCCGCAGTTGCATGCGGCGGCTCTTTGGCTTCCCCCCCCTCGCGAATCTTTGGCTGCCCCAATGCGGGCAGACGTTTTTTTTGTTGTGTTACTTAAGTCCGAAAGATAATTTAACGTTTAGGTAATTGATTAAGCATGGCGGTGAATGGGTCACAATGGAATGTCTTGCTGACAACAAAGTATACAACAGTCAAACTGTATTGTTAAAGAAGAACTAAGGAGGAAATAAACTTAATAGACAGAGTTTATTCGTATTTGCTTCTTTTGGAAATTCACGTATAAAATCAAATCAAATGATAGAATACGACGTTTCGGTTGCAACACAAGCAACCATCATCAGGTAAGAATGAATGATAAAACACAGACACGGGAACAGCGTAGGCAGACACACATGCAGACAGAGACACACACACCAAGACAAACAGAAGGACAACGAATCTGTGCCGAGGCCTTAAATAGAGAGATGGGAGAGGGTCCGGGGCAGAGAGAGGACTGAGGAGGCGGGACCAGCGGACAAACGAGGGGACTAAGAGGGAGCAGCGTGGAATTCCGGACCACAGTGGCTGGGGGAGAGACAATGGTTTAGAGCAAGAAAATCAAAAGTTTGAGAAAGCAAATTTAGTAGAATTAAGAAGCTCCCTCTTTGTCCCCTCGTTTGTCTGCCGGTCCCGCCTCCTCAGTCCTCTCTCTGCCCCGGCCCCGCCCCCATCTCTCTATTTAAGGCCTCGGCACAGATTCCGTTGTCCTTCTGTTTGTCTTGGTGTGTGTCTTGCTCGGTATGTCTTTGTGTGTGTCTCTCTGCATGTGTGTCTGCCTATGCTGTTCCCGTGTCTGTGTTTTATCATTGATTCTTACATGATGATGGTTGCTTGTGTTGCAACCGAAACGTCGTATTCTATTATTATTATTATGATTTTATTTTCTACGTGACTTTACAGGAAACAACCAAAGAGTTATTCCTGCAGTCATGAAAGCTTCGAATCTAGTTTGGAGTTTATTCCATCGCCTATTTTGTTTATTTAAGTCAGAATTTGTCATCTGCTGTATACCTGCTGCTGTTTTTGTGTACAAGTAGCTCCGTGTGTGATGGTTGCACTCGAACTATTTTGGTCAAAGACAAAAACAAAATATATTCTTCTTGGAAAGGTTGCCAACTCCTGGTGTAGCTAAAAACATCACCTTCCATGTTCCGGCAAGCAGACCTCATTTAGTAAACCGTGCGTGGCCGAAACACACAATCAATAAAACCGCGTTCGGTGAGGTATTCCTGTTAAAAAATGAATATTAAATGTATTGTCTCTGGTAAATATCAATGCTGTACCAATTTCCTGTATCTCCAGAGGAGGGGGTCACGATCTCCCACAATGTGCTTGCACCTTGGATTTGCTACATTTGTTAGCTTTTGATGAACTTGCTATAACTGTAAGTCATACAATTATAAGACCACGTCCACCACCTCTGAAAATCCGCACGCGCAACGAATATTTTGGGGAAAACGATGCATTTTAACGATTACAAAAACTCCACACATTCAGTCAAGAACACTGCTTTGCAGACATTGCTAATCCTGTTAGGCACCAAAACATTGACTGTTTATTGTGTGTTGTATTTACAATATAGATTAGACGGGGTGAATACCCTTAAGTGTTCTCTATATATCAACGTAGGCACGGTCCGAGGGCATAATGTTAAGCTACCTGTGGAGATAATCCATCTTGCAAACAGGACGATGTGGTGAGCTTGTGATGACGAATGGTTGTAAATACCACCAGTGCTGGTTACCTTTGAGGTTTTGCTGGCTGGACAGCACGTGATACTTCAAGTATATGTAGAAGAGCACAAGGCCTCCGAGCATCACGATGCACGAAAAGGAGCGTGTTCGTTTCATGTTGCCGCGACCTATGGGGCACACATTTACTCGACGTTAAAACATTTCCCTTCGATGTATTCTCTAATGAGATATACACAATACTGGGGGAGGGGGGGAAGCTCTGACGCATCGGTTAGTGGACGCCACGACCTGAGTTTGACTTTCACCCACGGCAGCTGTAGGGTTCGCAAAAAACTCATTTCATCCACGGGCCTTATATTTTCCTCGCCGTCTGATTATCGGCAACTTTTCCTATACGTCTGTGCGAAATGGCATCCTAGTATCCACAATTTTAGTTTGCCGATTAAAGAGCAATCTACATGGCAAATTCATCATCATGTCCGTAGTGGTTGTCCATGATATTTCGCCTCCGCATGCAGATCAGAGAAATTAAATTGTGGATAACCACGCGTCTAAGAGTATGTATATGCGATATTGGGGCTCCAATATCACTGTGGATAAGAGGAGTTATTATGTGCGCTCGTGTTCTGCTAGGCATGGAACATCACGCATTACTTTTTTGGGGAAGAGTCTTATCTTTCCCTTGTTAGTCGATGTTTTAGTTTTTACCTTTTCTGGCAAGAAAACAGGTGTTAAGATGTTCAAACACCAAATAGATACATTTTGCCAGGCATAAAGTCTGCATTTAGCAAACATACATTAGCATTTAGCAAACATTATGCAAACAAACATGTTCTGAAACGATTTGCATTGTCTTTGAAACTGATTGGCCTACACCAGAGACAGCCTTATGGCCTTGTCTCACTAGTGTCAGTCCAGAGAACGCCAACAGGCAAACAGTATAAAGACAATGCACGTATCAGAGCACTTATAGCTTTGGTTGAGCAACAATATCATGGGACATTTTTCATGCTTTGATACTGGCAAGAAAAGGTAGCGAGATATAGTAGATACTCTTTGGTTCTTTCGGTAAAGTCACGTAGTTAGAAATAAAATAAAAACAAATCACGACGTTTCGGGTGCAACACAAGCGTCCGCCATCAGGTGGGACAACCACAGCAAGAAAAAAATGCTGAAGTGGGCAAGAGAGCTGCCGTGGCAAGAGGTTATATATATAAGAAAGTGGGGAGGAGCAAGGGGGGAGAGTGAGAGGGGGGTGTGGGGTAGGGGGAGGGGGGCGCTGCGTGAGCGCTAGGGGGAGAGAGGACGTGAGGCCGGAGGGGGGGGGGGAATGGGCGGGGCTGGAAGTGGGAGGCTGGGAAGGTTGGGGATGCGGGTGGAATTTAACTCGGAAAAATAGACTAGTACCTGGCAGATATGATGGAAACAACCATAAACAGTTAAGGTTTTACCTGGTTAATAACATCCTTCCAATGATTGCTCAATTTGTATCCATCTTCTCGGTTGAAGTTATTTCTTTGTTTATATATCTGGGTGGCTTCATGAACAAACCTGTGTGCAGAGTACCTTGTCTCGGAAAAAACAATATCATGCGAGCCCACAGCGTTATAACAATGGTCAGCCACGGCAGAGGTATTGGTTCTGCCGTGTTTCAGATCTGCCTTGTGTTCATGGACACGGTCCGAGACATGTCGTTTCGTTTCCCCAATGTAACTGCTACCGCAGGTACCACTCAGTTTGTAAACTCCAGGATATTGCATGTCAGGAATGACATCCTTCACAGATGGGATTAAATCACGGATTTTGTGTACTGTATTGAATCGGACCTGGATCTTGTCTTTTTGGTAACACCTGCTATGTATGGTAACATGATGGTTTTGATCGGCTTCTCAGGGGGTTGTTTCTCCATGGTTGGAGAAACAGCTTTGCGAATAATGCGGTCCGAGTACCCATTCATCTTGAGGGCCTGGTGTACGTGTTCCAGTTCACTGGCTAGGTGGTGTTGGTCGGAAATGCAATAATACCTCTGCCGTGGCTGTGGGCTCGCATGATATTGTTTTTTCCGAGACCAAGGTACTCTGCAAATCTTCGGGCTACCATCAAAGGTTTGTTCATGAAGCCATCCAGATATATAAACATAGACGTAACTTCAACCGAGAAGATGGATACAAATTGAGCAATCATTGGAAGGATATTATTAACCAGGTAAAAACCTTGACTGTTTATGGTTGTTTCCATCATATCTGCCGGGTACTTGCCTATTTTTCTAAGTTAATTTCCCTTCGCATTCCTAGCCTTCCCAGCCTCCCACTTCCAGCCCCGCCCACTCCCCCCCGCCTCACGTCCTCTCTCCCCCTAGTGCTCACGCAGCGCCCCCCTCCCCCTACCCCACACCCCCCCTCTCTCTCCCCCCTTCCTCCTCCCCCCTTTCTTCCCTATAGAACCTCTTGCCACGGCAGCTCTCTCGCCCACTTCAGAATTTTTTTTCTTGCTGTGGTTGTCCCACCTGATGACGGATGCTTGTGTTGCGCCCGAAACGTCGTGATTTGTTTTATTTTATTTCTACCTACGTGACTTTACCGAAATAACCTAAGAGTATGGATTCCTGCAGTCACAAAAGCTTCAAATCCAGATTGATATAGTAGATGTTTTGTTCAACTCTATTTCTGCTTTGGCATTCGACCTTAAATAAGACAGAGAATATGACAAGTCAGGGAATCCTTCACCACGTGGCGATTTAGGGGCGCTACGGCGGCAAGATGTTAACTACCTCGCCTGGTTTCCAGGAGGTCGTGGGTTCGATCCCGACCCTGACGCCTGCATATTTGGAGTTTGTGCGTCTTCCAGTGGTCGCGTGGATATTTTTCCAGGTCGTCCAGTTTTTCCCTCCACATTCAGAATCAAAGTGCGTTTAAAATATTTGGCTGAAATACATTTCCACGCGAAAATCCTCTCCGTTGAGCTATCATTTGCGATCAGGTAGCTTTAAAAAAGAGCTTTATAGCTCAGTGAGCCTTACCTGGTAAAATAAATAATAGTTTAATAGTTTAGTTACGGCAGGGAGTGTTGATGTTAGAGGTTGATGAGCCAGTCGAGGGCTATTGGGAAAAGATGCTGTGAATATTTGAGGTGAATGACTGAAGCCCCCGCGGTGTTGTTCAGTGGTTTTGGCTTGAGAAAGTTGTCCCATTTTCATACTGTGAAAACACTGCACCGTTAACCAACAGAATAAATCGCACTCCCATCTGCAAAGTACGCGTGGGTGGATACATAATAAAAATATATAATGATATGTCATGGGGTGAAAATGCACAATTACAAAAACTCAGTCATGTGAACATCATATAATGTCCATAAACATTTAAAAATGAATGAAGGGAGAAGATAAGATGATGTCTCAGGTTTAAGTGCCTTTACAACAACACAGTACAGCATCTGAGCTGCAGATGCATTTCAAAGAGGCTGCAATCTCGAGAAGCTACACACGGTGGTGAGATGTTATCTTCCTTGGCTGGTATACAAGAGGTCGTGGGTTCAATCCTCATCATGACACTACGTGATAAGCCACTTGGTTGAGCTATCATTTATGGCCAGGTCACTTCTGAAAAATAGCTACAGTATTCCCTCGTTATTCACGGGGGATATGTTCCGGAGATGCTAGTGAATAGAACATTTCGTGGATAATGACATTGGCCTACGGAAATCTTTTTAATTAATCCCCTTAAATAAATACATATGCAGGTAAATAAATAGCATTTATAATAACACAAAAAGTGGTTTCAATAATAAAAAAGTAAATACAAATAATTATTACATTATTAAATAATAGTTTATAAATGCAGTCTTGTAGAGTTCCAGATGTGATTCGCGGACAACCAAAATCACGGACAGCAAGTTCGTGAATAATGAGGGACTACAGTACTGTATACAGCTCGGTGGGCTTTACCTGGTACAATCATGTTTTTGTTAGTGGCGAGCACGCACCACCCATCATGGCCAGGTAACTCAGGGACCGATCCCAAGTACTCAACCGGGAGTCGTGCGCACTTGGACTCAACGCAGGGGGCAGCCAGCCTCGATGAAAATAAAAACAACACGAGTTGTTGATCTCACCCTCGTAAGGGCCCAATATGATAAAAAAATAAATTAAAGGCTATATCAACATGACCTATGAAGTATGTTGACCAAAAGAATAACTATGGTGTTGCTGTTTAGAGGGCGGCATTGAAGCGCACAACAAATGCTTGGTAGAAGGATTAATGGAGTAAAAACCGATATAAGCCAACAAACAAATATATGCAATACAAGACACACATTCTCCTGGTATGTTTGCAAAGGTCATTAAACAAATTGATTACAAATATCACATTGCACTGGAATGACCTTCAGTGCATTACTCCTTAGGAAGAAATTATTTTGAGAACGTATGGGTTAATTTGTAGTATCTATGTACGATACTGTATATTGAACTTCTTTCACACCGTACGTAGCCAGTGTGCATATAAAAAGCATATACGTTTGTACAAGCTGTGTAGATGTATGTACGCTGGCAACATCTTACTTGAGGCATCTAAGAATGCATGTATTCATCAATGTAACTCATTTATTATACTCACAATGCACGCACTGGACCGTGTACTACTGTATGTGTAGGATTGATTATCTTCTATTGTATTACTTTCTGTTGTATTTAATGCGTTCAGCACAGCCAATGGAGGTGCTGCATGATTGTTGAATCCTCCCAATCCCGAATTGGGAGAATTCATCACATCTTGAGTCAGACACATGTTTACATTCCTTATATTAGGTCTGAATTGATTAATCAATTTAATTGATTGAAATATGTTCTTAGAATGATGAGCATCAATCATTTATGATCATGCAAATGTTAACTTCAGACTAAATTCGTCGAAACAAGCAGAGATAAAAATGAGACATCCAGACTCAAATTGGATTGATTCATGAGTTTAAAACAATAATGCTAAATAATGCCAATTCCTGGAACCTTGGGTGGGGGAGGATGTTTGCTGGATATAATCGAGGGTTGCTTCTAAAATATTAATATATATTGATTATTTGGCCAGCCAACAGTGACTGTTACCCAAGGTAAATAAGACAACGAATGGTAGCTGCGGTATCAATTCTCGTGATGCCGTAGGGGGATACA